ATGATCATACTTCTTACAAAAAGCTGATTATCTAAACTAACTCATACCTTTCCATATATCTAACAGGTTCTTCAAATCATTTGATTTAAAGAACAAATGAACTTCTTTAGGAAAGATGGAAATAGAATCTAGTGGTAAACAATCACCTTCTTTTTTTTGTCTTTTTTTTTTCGCTCTACCTTCACATTATTAGGTGATACACACTCAGAGAACATAGATAGGGTGCAAACTAGATGTTTAGTGGATTCCATGAAAGCTTTTACTAAAAATATCTTTAGGATAAGTATGCTATACAATCGGTATGAATGTTTTATGAATATGCAAGATAAGAGAAAAAAACAAAGAAATTAGTTAATTAATAGATAGAAAATAAAACATATTAACAAAATAAATACAACAACAACATGGTACTAATTCAAGGCTAATTCCAAAAGGTTAAGGGAACATGGCTCTACCTATGAGTTAAACTTATAAGGTTAACTATATGTGGTTTGAGTTATTTCTAGAGGTTTTTAAATTGTTCCTTATATCATTATCCATCATAGACTAGTAAAGCATCATAATCCTCACCCATTATAGGTTACAAGTGAAAAATGTTTAATTTGAGTAGGAGCATTTCGTTAGCCCATGCAGAGATATAAAATTTCATGAAAGTGTAGGTATTTTATTTCTTTTTAAAGGATAAAGCTTAGGTGTAGAGCTTATATTATGCATATGCAAATGAATGACATATATGAATAATAAATAAATAAATTACAAATAAAGAGAAATTTTTTTAAATTTATTAAGTTAGGCTTGGATAACAAAAAATCATTTATTGGTTTGACTCTGTTATCTCCAACGAAGTTGTCAAACTATCATAATGTATAAATCTATGGACTCACTGCTAGATATAGACTTAAGAACTCGCCACCAATATTTTTTGTTAAGGTGTGATTGAATTTGTCCCATTTAAAAAAGAGTCCCAAGATTGACTTAGGTATCTTTATATAGTAGATTTTGATCCATGAAACCAAAATTTAAGTCTAAAAGTACGGTTATGCATGAGAAAATTTATAGTACCCTCACAATGCCTATCCAAAAGATAGTATCAATTTGATTTCAAGTTGTTCAAGCCTTAAAACCTGTTTAAAATTTATCAAATAATTTAATATTAAAAATTTTCTTTAAATTATTTCAATATATTGGTAATAATTTAAGAATACTTCATGACTTCAAGAGTTTAAGGAGACTATTTATCATATTTTGAAGAGGCTCCATCGTTAAATTCATTTAATTTTGCTTCTAGAAATAAATATCTATAAACCGATTATAGTTAGAAATGTCCTTCAATCTGTGGGTAAGACTTTTTGTTGAAAATTATCTTTAAATTTGTTGGTAGAATTTTATGCAAAAAGATACGAAATATTATTTTATTATTTTATTCTTTCTAAAAACTTGATTTTTTTTAAAAAAAATTATAAGGTTTTCTTATAGGTTGGTAAAAGCTTATTTTGAAAAGACATTGACCTTCCAATCTATTGGTAAAGCTTTTTTATTTTTTATATATTTTTTTTGAAATAAATAAAATTATAAGGTTTTTCAATATATTGATAAAACCTTTTTTTTTAATGGTTGCTTTCTAATATGTTGGTAAGGCCTTTATTTAAACATGTTTTTATAAAAACATATTTAAAGAATAATAGATAATTAAATAAATAAAATAAAATAAAAATACTTGAAATCGGCTCAGCTAGGCAACTAGACTGTGCGACTTGGCTTAGCTGGCTCAACTTTGGTGTAGCTTGGCTTAAGGCAACAAATGGAAGACAAGTTAGGATTAGATGGCACTGTGGGTTAGGTATGGAAATGGTAAAACACTCGGACCTTGAATGTTTAAAGGGGGTTTAAATGGCGTCGTATTATGGGATTATAAAATCTTAATTTTTTTTTCAGAAACATTTATGCTTTCTCTCTTTATTCTTTCGCCTCTCTCTCTAAATCCCTTTCTGACCACCGAGATCTACAAAAAGCCTACTAAAAAATTCTTCACCCGTTGTAGACTTTAACCAGATACTAGATTTTTTTCACCAAGAATCGGATATATTGCCAAAAATCCATTAAAATTTTCAAAAATTGCATAAATATTCAACTAAAATTTGGAAATTCCAAGAAAATCCTACAAAAAATCCTAGAAAATCACCTAAAACACTAAATCAATCCCCTAAACACCTACCTAAACCAAATAGATTCCACAAGTCTTAAAATTCTTAAAGAATTTCTAAAAAACTCCACTGCCAGAAACCAAACTCTATTCTCTCCAAAAAAATTTTCACTCTTCTTCGTTTCTGTCTTAAAACCATTTATAAGAGTTTTTAAAGACAGATTTAAGACAGATTTGATTGTGGTGTGATTTTGGGTTTTGATTGAGGTCAATGTTCTTCTTTTGATTCTATTTCCAATTTCATACAGCTAGAACAAAATCTCAAAAATCCCTATTTGCTCGATTTTTGTACAAGATTTTCAAAAAATCCTCTTTGATTTCTTTTCTTTCCTTTTTTTTTTTTAACTAATCTTTATCAAAGAATAAACAAAAAACAAAATAATAAATAAAATAAAATACTTATTAGGGCTAAAGCCCACATCAAAGCCTAAACAAGATAACGTTAGTATTGGGCACCAAGCCCAAACCAAAATGTATGTTAGACTTAAAATCCAAACATTGACTGGGATAGTGCCATTTGGAGCCCAAAAGACCCAATAAACACTTCCAAGGCCCGATAATTCCTACAAAATCAAAATCAAGAATTTATATGCACGTCCCGAATGAAAACTCTAGCTGCATCTAACCTTTTTTTCCTCATTGTACTGTCATCCAAAGTAATGAAGCTTCCCCAATGAAATGGGGTGTCTATACTTTCATTAAGAAACAACGAAAAAAAAAACTTAGCAGATGGGCATCCTTCTATACTAGAGATAAAACTCTAGCTGCATCTAACCTTTTTTTTCCTCATTGTACTATCATCCAAAGTAATGAAGCTTACCCCAATGGTTCCCAATTCTTTTGAAGACTACATAGCTCCACGCATGCGTAGAGACATTTTCTGACTTCAGTAATACAAACTTTTCTTACGAAATAAAATTGTCATTCCATGATCTTGTCCAGAAGAACTACTCGCTGAGCCATATTTTACCTTCTTCCAACATACCTACATTTCATCCTTTGATTCAACTGATAACAACACCATACTACTACCCATTACTGTGACTGAAAATTGTAACACCCCCTGACTGGTAATGTGACGTTGTAGTAAGTAGATGGCTTGTGGATTTTTTACCTCTGTGACTACACATTTTTCCAACCAATCCATTTCTAGTTCATCTACTTCAACTGTGATAGTCGAGAAGGCCCGGTTTCTGGTTGTAGACTCCATTTCTGTGTCTTTGACAATCTCCTCTATCTCTTTGTCTTCGCCATTCAGTTGCTTTGATTTCTTACTGTCTGGTTGATCTGCCGTCGTAACTTTTACAGCTTCTGCATACGTTTTTCTTTTCCCGCATAATTTTGATGATGATAAGACACCCTTCTGATATCATTTCTGCTCTGAAAGTAGCTACTCATCTTGCCACCGAAATGCCTCTCATACTTTTCCAAACTCACTTTAAGTTTCCAACTCATCTATACTATTCCATCTAACGCTCGATGACATTCAACGCCTCTCTCATGTCTTCGAATCTAAAAAAGCCAAACTTGCTCCCTTTTGACCTCCTGTATGCAGGTATGTAAAAGTTCAGTATTCATCGCCTCTCTCATGTCTTCGAATCTAAATAAGTTTTTGAATTTTATCAGATAAATTTTTATATTTTTATTATATTTAAACAAATTTTTATTTTTTAATTTATATTCAAATAAACTCTTATTTCATGCAAACAATATTTATGTTATAGATTTATTTAAGTGCAAACTAAAAATTAAGAGTTATTTGGATAAAAAAATTAAAAATTTATTTGAATATAAATTAAAGATAAAAAATTATTTAAATATAATAAAAATATAAAAATTTATCTAAATAAAACTATAAAATTCAAAGACCTTTTTTATTAATTTAACCAAAAAATATTCATAGATGCTTATTAAAGTGCTATATTGATATTAGAATAGGGAATGAAGGTACAAAGCAAGCAACATTTAAGAAAACAGATTGGCCAATGCTTCACCTTTGCATCCCCATAATTTGTTTGATTTTCGTCTTTTCCCACTCTGGATGTGGAATTATATGTGGTCCATTCAGACGCTCCTCTACTTTTCATTTATTCCTAAGCATTATTTATACCTCCTTTATAAACTTTATAAAGACGATTAAAAGATTATCATACATATTTGTTTTATACTTACATATATTAAGAAGTATTTGTAAATCTTTTAATTTTATTAGTAAAATTTAATAGTGCTAGTGTCCATTAGTAAAATTTAGTAGTGCTGTAATCGAGATAATTTTCTTATTTTTAATCCTTCTAAATCATATTGTGATGTGAATGTCACTAATGATTTTTAAAGTAATGTAATTATAATATTTAGAAGTTAAATGCAGTTGATTTGATAAAATGGTCGGTGTACCTTTTTTTTAAATCATATAAATATTTATAAATTTATAAGAATCTAGCTTATTTAGTAAGAATATGGAATATTTTATTTGTCAATTCACGCTTAATTTTTGAAAAAAAATTAAAAATAAAAATTTAAACCAATCGTATTTATATAAAAATAATTCCTTAAAATCATTAAAAAATTAGTTAGATAAAATCCAAGATACTCTTAAATATATAAAAAAAATGTAAGTTACGTAAAAAATAATAACGAAAAGTACGGAAAAATTATATTTGGAGTTGAGCCATTGCCATCCAAAAAAAAAAAAAGTCATTTTGAAAAAAAAAATAATTGCAAAAAAAGAGGGCACATGCCGACATTGGATGGATCAAATATGGCACGAGCGAATAAAGGAAGAAAATCTCCGTCAGATTTCCATTTGGGCCACTTTTTTACTACAAAACAATTTATCAATCATCATCGTCTTTACAATCAAATCCTACGACCAATAGTCACTGCTTTCATATCACATCATTTCAACTTGCCTACACCCTATTCCTCCACTCTCCCTCTCTTCCATTAATACTAGGTCTAACGCTTGCCTAATCTCTCTTTCCTTCTCTTCTTAATATCCCAACCGAGATTTATTCTCTCTTTGTTCTTTTTTTAATTTCAGACAAATCATTCTCTCTTTAAATCCTCGCTCTGGTATGTCAACTTTTTTTTGTTAGTTAGGTTTTTTTTTTTTTTTGACATGATTTATTTTTTATGTTTTTCTGGACAGGCCTGTGTTGGTGTTCTAATCTTTGATTTGTTAAAAAAAAAAAATAGAAATGAACGCCAAAGACATGGGAAGGATGGAGGAGAGAGGATTTGATTCAGTGGTTTGCCCTAAGCCTCGTCGTTTAGGCCTTTTCAATTCTTCAGCTGATCATACCCGAATCTTTAGATGGCCTAACAAGTAAGTGCCCTTCTCTTCTATTTATTGTTTTCAGTTTTTTGGAGTATAAATTTTCTTATTTATTTTTTTGAACAAAATTAAGTAGCTGTTATCAGACAGAGATAATTGATTCGAAAGCCGGAACAGAGCTTCTTGATTTAATTCTCAAGGTAAATTTAGTCTTCTCTATTTCTTTTCTTTTAAAAATAACTTTAATTTGTTTCTGGCTATATAGCCGTGTCTGTCTATTGAGAAAATTGGTTACGTGACTGTAAAAGGAATTTGATTTTTTTTATTTGTTTAAGTTTTAATGGAAGATAGATATGAATTTAAGGTTTTTTTTTTTTTTTTTTTTGGGTGAGAGAAAGAAACGAATTTAAGGGGTTTTGTTTAATTTAATTACAGGAGGGGTATGGGGCTGAGAAACCCAGCAATCAGGTGGCTTCATCGCCTCCATTTTACTGTGGATCACCACCAAACAGGGCTTCAAATCCTGTAATCCAAGATGCCCAGTTCAACAACGAGAAGCTGCTGCCTCCACTATCATCCCCGGCAGCAGCACCTTCACCCTCACCACCCTCACGCATAGCTGGCGGAGGATGCGTGAGGATGAAATTTGGGCATAAGCCAGCTGCTGTCCGAATTGAGGGATTCGATTGCCTCAGCAGAGATGGCCGCAATTGCAGCATATCCGCCGTGGCTTAAAACAATGGAAACCCTCAATTCTGAAAAATAACCAAGTAGGGTATTTGATTTTGTAACAATATTTTGACAGAGAGAAAAGAGGGAGATCAGTTAAAATTACAAGCAGTATAGTGTGCTAGTATGGGAGTTTGTATATACAGTTTAATGAGTTGGGATTTCCTTGAACTCTCACAATATTTCAGTTGTAATGAAAGGTGAAGACTGATGAGAGCTAGCTGGAAGAACAAGTTCATTTTCAAGAATAAAAATTCCAAGGAGAGGAGGAGAAGAAAATTTCTTTCTCCTTCTGGTTTATTTTTAAAAATTTTTAAGTTCATGTTGTTGTTGATAAAGGAGACTTTTCTTTTTGTAATATTTTTCTGTTTGATTACTCTGATCCTTCGTTTGGAATTGTAATTTGTACGAAAACTCAGAATTATTAATCCATCCCATGAAAAGTTTCATTTTCTTTTTCTTTAGTTGTGGGTTATTTTCAATGTCTTCGTCCTTTTTTTTTTTTTTTGGTGAAATTTTCAACGTCTTTATCCTTACAAAAGAAATGTGGTTAGACAAAAGAGCACTAAGAATAGCACGCGGTCTCCCAAATCCAAATATCAGCGCGTCAAAAACACGGTGCGTTATTGAGGAGGCGTGATTACCCCAAAGAGAGAAAAACGCAACGAGTCAGAGAAAAATGGAAGGCAAAGCCAGAAAAGGACCGAGATTTACCGTAGGTATTGTGTTGGATGGAAGGAGTAAAAAGAAGATACATAGGAAGGAAAGAGTGTAAAGGGTGACAAGAATTGATGTGGTAGTTCATATTATTTTATTATATTTTGTGTCATGTTTAATGTGTAATAATTTAAATTATTAAAATATAAATATGATATGAATTAAATATGTAAATTTTTAAATAAATAAATATTTATTGAACATTACACGGAATAATATGTTAATAATATATAATTAATTTTTAAATATATACATATAATTATATATAGATATTTATATATATTCAATGTATACAAAATAGATATGATTTATAATATATATAAGTTCAAATTAAACATAATTATAAATATCTCATCATTTATATTCTTATGTTTGAGTATATCTAATAATAATAAAATGTTATTTTTTTAAATTTAATACTCATTTAATGTGCATTTAATATATATAATTATTAATTTTAATTTATATTATATAATTATATTAATTTTATATCAAATTTAAAATAATAAATTATTAAAGATTAAAGAGTGAAATAATAATGCATAGGATTAATATTAATATTTATGTTATATTTTTATTATTAATATAAACAATAATTTTATAATAATTATTAAATGAGTCATAATTAAATGTTTATATGATATTAAATAGTTAATTAAGTATCATACTTAAAAAATTAAAAATTAAAATAATTTTTATATATTTATATTAAATTAAAATAAATATAAAAAATATATTAAACATATTAAATATATATTTATATAATAAAATAAAATAAAATATATTATTCATATTATATCTATATGAATAAATATAAAATATTATTTTTAAAATATATATAATTTTTATATTATTTTTATATTATATTTTAAATTATTAAATTTTAAAAAAAAAGAAAAAAAGAAACTGATTGATGATGGAACGGGCAAGAATTTTGGTGGGGTTGGGCTTTAAGCCTTTAGGATTTGGTAAGTGGTTGGGCGCTGATAATAATGAGCAGGGAAGAAAGGAAATTGGTTTTCTTTTTCCGTTGGGCATGGTGCCAAAATCATGACGGCAGCATCGGCATCTCTCTCTATCGTCCCACCATCTGTGGCTTACGTGTGTGCAGCAGTACAGTACAGTTTTCAAGTTAGGCTGGCTTCTTAAATGATTTTTTTTTTCTTGGGAAAATGCCCTTGTTTTGCTCTTCTGAATTTTGCGGTCCAAAGACACTGCCCCCTTGCTCGTCGGATTTTGCCTATTTAACACAAGGCATAAACATTTTTCTTTTATTTTGTAATATTTAACTCGTATATTATATATTTTTTCAATGTAATATTAAAAAAATTTTATAATTACATCTTTGACTTGATGTGCTGTTGGATATATTGATCTTACTATTAATTAAGTTTATGACATACCATAAACATATAATAAAATTATGATGCATTTAAAAATTATTCAATTATTATTATATCACCTATTGGCATATCAATATTAAAATAAAATTTCAAAATAATTTCAAAAGATTATTCAGAAAATTTTTTAAAAAATTAAAAAAATCTAAAGAATTAAATAAAATTAAAAAATATTCATAAAAATCTTAAAAATTATAAAAATTCCCAAAACTTTAAAAAATCTGATTTTTTAAAAAATTCAAAAATTCAAAAACATATTTTGAAAATTCCATAAATCTGAAATATTAAAATTTCCTAAAAGTTCCAAAAAAAATTTGAACAAAATTGCCAAAAATTAAAAAATCTGAAAAATTTTTAAAAATCTTAAAAATTCGATAAAAATCTAAATATATATATATATGTAGAAAAAAGATTCATTTACTTTAGTGTAAGTTTTACATATTTTTGAATCATTTGGTCAAAATTATTAAATTAAAAAAAATATTATTTTGATTCAAATGAATTATAAATTTTATTTTATTTTAATAGTTCAAAATAACGTAAGAGTTGTATTAATATAAATAAATCCTTATTCATATATATATATATATATAAATTGAGCTCATTTATGATTTTTTTTTTTGTAATTATAAGTTCAATAATTATGGTGAATTTTGAACTTTGAAACTGCACTAAAGTTCTATGTCTATATTTGTAAATGGAAAAAAAATAGAGATGGTTGTGTAAAGAGGAAAAGTTTTTTGAATCATGTTGTAGTTGCCTGTTAGCATCACAAATCACAAAATTTATTGTTATTTCCCAAAACACGACGTCTCACCAACTTCATCCACATACCAATTTTCTATACTTCATCGATTACGCTCATTTATTTAGGCTTTGTTTGGAATTAACAGAAATTAAATTTTGTTCCAAGTGCATTAGTGACCATTTGGGTGTTTATGGTGTTTAATCACTGATGAATTTTGCTCTAGTGACCTATTGGCAATTTTTTGGGGTTTTTTTTTGTTTTTTTAATGTTAGCTTTAAATGATAGTGTAATTACAAAAATATCTGTTTACAACAATTTTATTCTTTTAATTTTTATTAAAAAATAAAAAAGTTATTTTGTTAATTTAATATAATAAAAGAATATTATTTGATATATTATTATTTTTATTAATTTTAATTATTTATTAACAAAATTATTATTGATATAAAAATAATTTAATAATAATTTAATAATTTAATAAATATTAAATAATTTAAATTTTTTATTATATATAATTTTTAATACATTACTCTTAATGATCATTTCTTTATACTATAATTCACTTTATTATCATTTTACTTTTACATCTAAACACATATCTCATCATTAATTTTAATTTTATTGTTACAATAATTAATTTTATTTTAACCATTATTTTCAATCTCACAGAAGCCATGGCAAAAGAAAAAATTTACAAAAACTAATCTCATCATCCATCTAAATAAATCCTCATAAACTATTCAAGATACAAAATGGAAAGGGAATAAAAAACCTAACCTGTAAAATCTCTTGCCGAATTGGCTTGAAAGTTGAAACTAAAGGGTCCCTTTCCATGGTGATTTGGAGATGACTTGGAGTAATCAAGCAGCATGGAACTTGTGCTTGAAAATGAATGGCTGCAATTCATATATTTAGTTTCTGTTGTAAAGAAATCAATGAGCATACTTTTTTGATATAGTTGAATGTGGACAAAAGCTGTATGCAAATGCTCAGTGCCAAATATTTTTGCAGTCTCAATTATTATTTTCATCTTATGGCTTAGGCAATTAAAAATCTGCCACTAGAAGGCTAACCAGCCACAGCTTCCTTGACCTCTTCTCCATATTTCCTTATCTTTTGACTCACTCCTTCAACTCTTCACGCACAAAATCCAAAGAAAGAAAAGGAAAGCAAAACAGCAGAGACAAAAATTTGAATGTGGATGTCTTAAAAGGAAATCACTTTTGGATAAGAGTTTGTTTTTTTTATAATGATACTGTAATTTTTTAACTCGACAAACAGTGAATACATAGAAAACCATTTCCCTCGAGATTACAGAATGTGTGGAGTCAGAAATATCAAATGTCTATCGATGAATCAGCAAGAGGTGATGGGAGTAAATTTAAAAAAGAACACTAGGATATATAAACAAATTTGTACATATATACATACTCAAATGAACATCAATTACAGTTTTGATCCAAGGGCAAAAGAACAGTAAAAAATACAAATTAGTAGCTAATTCTACTTGAAGCAAAACTGTCTACCATATGAGAACCATACATGGGGAGAACAAATTCAGAAACTTATCAGGGGTGAGATAACGTCCGCAAAGTATAATTCAAAAGGCCAGTGATGAATATCAGACTATAAACAAGAATAGTGACCAACTCCAACTTCTGTTGTTTATTTACTGCCATCTTCTGGAAGGAGGCTTGATTGACTTGGAGCTTAGACTCTTTTTAACGGCTGAAAGGAGCAGTACAAGAGAATTTTAGGAGGATCCCATGTAAAGAGATCTACTAATTTTTATCCACGTAAAGACTAGCAATTAAGAATTAAGATGAAGATCTCTGAGTTTACATACTTGTTGAACGGTTTGGAGATTCTGTTCTTGATGCTGTTTGCCCTTGCGCTGGTTTTTGTACAAGTCGTGTCTTTGATGCTATCTTGGTCCTGCACAAAATTAACTTATATTGGCTATAGATTAAACAAGCCAAAGAATATGTTGAAATGGTGCACCTAACCCCTCTCATGATTCTTGTTCTTCCCTTTTGCATTTTTCCTATTTGGTTTTGGTTATATTTTGGTGTTCTGACCTTAAAAATGAAATGCAACAACAAAAATTAAGTCAAAAGAAATGTGCATGAAAGCGTGCCTACATCTGTTTATATGAGAAGTTTGCACCCTAAATTGAAAAAAAGTACCAGAACAAATTTTCCCCACATCAAAATCATGTTATCAGCAAAGCAATACAGCTATTTGTCACTTCTGGAACGTAACTTCAATTGCAATGACATTTTAAACTTGGGAAGAAAACAATAAAGTATTCAAAATTGTAATGGGTTGACAACTTTTCAGTTTCGATTGTTTCAATATTAAGGAAAGAGGCAAAAAGTGGACTGAAATAATCTTTACAAGAAGTGTAGCTTATTAGAAGAAAGAATTTGATCACTTTTGGAATCTGCTCAATGAAATTGAATAGAAGCTTAATAATTATCAGTGGCACACAATATATAACTCAGAAAACTAGAAAATAACAACAATTTGAAAAGAAAATCTAAGAGGTCAAACACATACGGAACATGTGTGTCTGTGCGGAAAGAGGAGGGTTGGGAAGAGGAGATGGCAAAGTACTCTAGGAAAGTCTTTGATTGTTGATATGTTAATCATCTGATAGAGTATCCTTCTTGTAATTTTGGAATATAATAATATCTGCAAATCCTCTACTTAATCCAGCTATTTTAATCAATATATCTATCTATACATTTCTAAGGCTAGCAAATCAATTGAAAATTTTGCATATTTCTTCCAAAATTTTATGTATATTTATTATCTGCAAAATTTTGGATTGGTGCTAAAGCTGTGAGAAAACTAATACTCACACTCCCAAATTTATGCCTTCAGGGGACCGAGTTTATTCAGCTGAGCCATCAGTTTCTGTTCCCATAGAAAGACCAACATTAGATATTTCAGTAAACTTTTCCTCATCTGTGGACTGCTGGGAACCAGCTTCAGAATGCTCATCATTGTGAACAGTTGTCAAGATCAGAAGCTGCTTTCTCAGTATGTCCTAAGCCTTTCTGACCCGACAGTTTTGGCTTCATGACGAGAACCACCTATAGAATAGAGGAAGAACCATACCTCAACGAGCCTGTTCTGTGCTGCTCACCATTGATGACGGGGTATCCATTTTTTAGATCATCAAGTAATTGCAACCGCTCAATCTCCTCATCCTTTTTTGCTATTGTGTCCTTGAGAGATGCCATCTGCAGGGCATTAATCTTAGAAAACAATAATATGAATGCAGTATCCGATTCCCCTTTTTTTGGGTGGAGAATATATGTTGTATCTAGACCCAAAAATGACCTAAAAGGAGATTTCAAATATAAAAAGCACAGGATTCTCAGGATCATTTGAAAGAAAATGGAATAAGAAGATATGCATCCTTAATCTCCAAATAAGAGTATTATTAGACAAGAGCACCGTTCAAGTGGAAAACACATGATTCTTGCAAAAAATTATTCTTTAATCTTTAAAAGAAATATGAAATAAGATCTATAACCAGAACCTCCAAATATAAAGTAGGCAAGAGCCTGGTTCAGGGAAAGTTTTTGCTAAAACATAGTTGAGGTAATATCTATGCTATCTATCAAAGCTAAATAAAATACATTCGGTATACATTCATAGATCGAAAATGTTTTGCATTATTTCCAACTGGTCTGTCACTTTCATTTCATACTTCATCCTGGTCACAGGCTCTCATCTACTCCAGCAATGTTGCTGCCCTTCCTAATAAACGTCGGTAGCCTACTTTCTGAAATTCTATGAGGAATAAGAAGATAGTCTTATTTGTAATTAACTTTATTCTTTATGTGCATGCAAATCAGCCAATAAACCTTGTAGCGACCATAACTAATGATGCCAAGTTGTAGTAAAACCTACATATCAATACTAACGCTGTGACTGGTAATTAAGAAATAAACAACACTTAAATTAAGCAGGACAATATTTAAAGATCTTCATCACCAGCATGCTACTTGTGATAAACCAATTTAAGATAACCAGAAAAGGTTGCTTTGTATAATTAGTTTTTGTTTGTCCTAGCAAATCCATGGACTCTACAGCTCATTGAAATTCCTATTACACCAAAAGAAAATCTTTTAAAGTAATTTATATAAATGTTGCAAACTATATCTTTTTTCGCAGCATAAATAGTGTTATGTTGAATAGGCTAGTACAAGTTACATGTTGCAGTATAAATATATACAAACTTGTTGCTACTGTTTTTTACAGCACTACGACTTGCAACACCTTGCAGCAATTTGCAGAACATTTTTTGCAATGCAAAAAGTCTTATGCTGCATAGGTTTTGCAAACTATTTTTCCACAACAAAAGCATGTATACAAGTTGGTGCAAATACTTTTTATAACACAACTATTTGCAGCATAGCATAAAATTTTTGTTGCTAAATATCACATTTCTTGTAGTGTTAGTAGTCCTAGGAGATATTGCTTCATATACCTTTGATCTTCAGAACAAACTACAAAAGGATCATGCATATCTGACTCCACTCCAACCTTGTATAAGAAAATGTAATGTGTAAAAAGGGGAAAATAAAAACTGCACCTGCTCCATTAGTTCCCCAACATCCTTCCCCTCTTTGCTACTTCGTGCAGCACCTAGTTCAACTCCAGAAACCCGTTCAGCAAACTTCAAAGTGCTCATACTTTCAGAATAGGAAGTGGCATCAGGATTGAGCTGCACAAACATAAGGGTCTTTGCCTGACCTCCTGGAATATATAAAACTATTTAGATGGAGATCTAGTGTATGTGTTTATAAAGCAATACAGTTTAGATGAACAATAACATCAGTGTTCTCCAAGCAATTGAAACAGATTTTTCATACTCTAAAACCTGGAGATGATTTCCAATAGTTTAAGAACATAGATGAAAGAAGTACCAAGAGAGCTTTGAAGTACTTGAGTGAGCTTGCTATTTCTGTAGGGCACATGAGGACTCTTTTGTGAAAGAGCAAAAATTACATCTCCAAGGGAAGATAATGATTTATTTATGTGTTGTGCTTCCCTAAGCCTATCTCCAGTTACCTCAGATCTATCTACTCTTTCACTGCCTGCTAGATCTACCAAATGAAGATTACCATACAAAGAAGTTCCATCTTTCAAATCCTTCCCACGAACATGTATGGTGACAATGCTGTAACCACAAATCTAAATCATAAGTCACTGGGGAAATAATAAAACTAGAGATGTGAATTAAAATATTAAATATACGGACCTGTGAGAGCGACTACTTCTTTCATTTAGAGTAGTAGAACTAACAGCTCTATTCTTGAGTCCAATATTCATTAAATCTAACACATCTGAGGTTGATAGAACAGGGTGCATGCTAGCATCAGGTACAGCTAACCCAGTAGGTTGAGAGATAGTTTTAATCCCTAATGTGTACAGATTAAGCAAAACAAAGATAACTATACCAAAATAATGAATATTTTACTTAGACATTGAAAGAAAAACACTTACAAAGGGAATATATATATATATATATATCATTTGAGAAAAAGATGTAAAATATATATAAATGAAACAGGTTGACCAACTGTGATCAATGAAGCACATCTATTTCATTTAAAAAAAGGATATTTCTTCTGAGAACCATCACTTGATAATAAATCGCGCACTTGTTCATTATATATTTCAACCATTTGAACCCCAATTTCATAGAGAATGGTGCTTCTTCTATTTTGAGAGAGTCTGAAGAGACCATTCAAAGCACGATAATTAACACCCCATTCCTCTTCAGTTGCTCCATTAGGACCAATCTGGAAACATCAAAAAGAAATGCTGAATGGGATTGTTTAAAAATGTTTGTGCAACTTCATGAAGCTTAATAATAAAGAGATTCATACCATTGTATAGGTTTTCCCTGAACCAGTTTGCCCATAAGCAAATATACAGACGTTATATCCATCAACTACTGATTGAACAAAGGGTTCAATATCTGAAAATACCTCCCCTGCCATTGTTTAAAAGAGTTCTATAAATTAGACATTGCAATGCTTTCACAAACAAACAGATTCAAGTTCATTCTGCAGGTAGTATCAATCAACTAATGAATCCTATTCAACCAAACAATAGTAATTTGGCAACGACTGTAATAAGACCTTGAGTAGTAGCTGGACCAAAGACCTTATTAAACTTAAATGATCGTTGGCCATCTTTCCCTGGCTTGGATGGATTTGCAATAACCAACTGTCCATTTTCACCAATATTTTCTATGATTGTCTGTTTTCCGGTTTGTCCAGGCAGAAATGGCCTTACTCGACAATAAACTCTAATGTTCCCTGTACAAATAAAATAAAATAAATAAAAAAGTGATTAACAACATACATAACCCAATACAGAGAAGCTACTTGCAGGCACCTTTCAAATCCTGAAGTTCATTAAAGAGCTTTCGATTTTCAGCCAAAACTTCATGATAGTTCCCTGCTGCATCTGCTAATGCTTTAAGCTTTACTTCTGAACAAGAAAAAATTCTCATAAGAACTTTTATCCATAACAATACAAGCTGACAAAAGTTTCCAACAAGAAACCTACCTAAGTGATTAAATTCCTCAGAATAGCTCTTCTGTGTTTTCAAAATTTCTTGCTTGATGGCATGGGAAGTTAACCTTAACTCCTGTATACTTACATAAATTACTATGAATGATATCGAAGAACAAAATACACAGCTAAAATGACAGAAACCTATTTGTACCTGCATTGCACCAAACTGAAAGACCATAAAGCTTTGGTAGATGTTCTCTTTCATGTTCCACGTCTGGCATTTTGACTCAGAACTTGCTTCAAGCTCTTTCAACTTATTGTTTGAATCAGCAAGGTGGCACTCAAGCTCTTTTAACCTCATTTGAAGTTCTGCTTTGTCACCCTTATTCTCTGTTTCCATTTCCAAGCGGCACTGCTCTTGCATTGTTTTGGCAATTTCTAGTTCTTGTTTCAGTGCTGTAATTTCAAGAATGTTTTTATCATTTTCTTTCACTAACTTTATCATCTCCTGCTCTTTATCATTTTCTTTCACTAACTTTATTATCTCCTGCTCCTCAACTTTCTGTTTTTCTTCCACTTTGGAGTTCTCAGTCTGCAAGAAAGGGAAAAAAATCTGATGAGAAAAATATATAGTGTTGGAAGGTATCTGTATTGCATGAGATTACTTTCTTTGGCGACTGAAAGGTGCATGCCCTTTCCATTCTTACAACTATTTCCAAAAAATAAAAAAAATACTATTTATTTTGTTAAGCCAAATGATGATAAGAGTGCCCATAACAAGTAATAACAGGCAGGAAAGAATCTCCACATCTGGGTACAGTGGAGATTATGATTGGTTAAATCATTAAATTCATTTAAAATGAAATTCATTCAAGATTTTGCAATAAGTAATGGGTAAACAATGTGGAAAATAACAGCTAAATAATGATGCCTGAGAGAGAGAGGGCACAAGCAGTTAAAGACTGTTGAATAGTGAGAAATATTCTTTTTTCTTCGAACCTTCATTTGCTGAAGCTGGTTTGCGACATGCTGTAACAAATAAGGTCATTAAATACACAGTTTAGCATCCATACATGAAAGAGAAAAGACTTTTAGTTATTCTGTTTTTTTTTCTTTGCTTCATTAGTTTATGCACCTTAGTCTCTTCACCAGTCCTAGACTTAGTCGTCTCTTCACCAGTCCCAGACTTAGTCTCTTCACCAGTCCCAGATGCAAGGCCCTCAAGAAATCTGATTCTTGATTGGTACTTCTCCTCACGAGCTTTGAAAAGATTATTTTGCTGCAGGCCACAAACCACATAATAATCCATAGAGAAACTGAGAAGAAAGTATTCAAATCAAGATATTTAGAATAGGATTTACAGTTCTTAGGTGTTCTGCTTGAGTTGATATACGCCGTTCAATCTCCTGCACAACTTTTCTCAGGAGACATGCCACACGCTGAGCAACAAAGGTAATGTCATCATGTTTTTGCACCAAATATCCATGTAATTATATATGGATACAAATGCATATAACTAGGTCACAATTACACACACATACACATAAAAGTTTAATGTACACTTAAATTTTACATCAATATTTTGTCATATTCCATACATGAGGAATTTCACTGTTCTTTCTTTCAATACTTTCATCCAGAATTCCGTTGACAACACTTAAAAGTGACTGAGTTGGGGCATTCTGCATACAGGAAATGTGAGAACGCATTACACATACAAGAATGATAAATAAAAACTCAGTGGGTTGTTAAAATGTAGAATGCTAGCCAAAAGAAATGTAAAACATAGTAAATGTTGACAACTTACTTCTAAACTGTTTGATTTCATCATCTCTGAAATTTTTGTTCCTGGGAGATCTGCATAGCGTCCTTGTTTCAACTGAAACACCTCATGGAACTTGTGCCCAACAGGATGCAGTACTGCAGCTGATTGTTCTGCAGAAGGCGAAAAAAGGAAAAAACATAAACTGGAGATAAGATCTAAAATGCTGTCCAACAAAAGACAAGAAAAAGCAAAACAATTGCATTTAGCTATATATATATTTGTATATATATATATGAAATAAATCGATATATATCCAGTTTCAATAGATCAGAAATCAATTCCAAACCATTAGCTTGTTTGCTTTATGTTAGCAGTATATTTTACAAGGCTGGTGTGACATTGTTTATTTATTCTTGTGCATAACTAAACCATCAAACTAAATAGCCGGTTAACTAGAACTGTATTTAATCTTTGCATTCATTACTTAGAGCATTTTACCAGTGAAAGCACCTGAACCTAGCAAACTCTCACAGGTGCAACATTAACAAGCACGCACGAGGCATATAGACATACTTGTGCAGGAAGAAAGAGAGCAATACCTGACATTAAAGGAGTATGCAATGCACGTTGAAATTTTAAGTCCAAGGAAGCCTTCCTCCTTTCTTCTCCAGATAATAGAGTGAGAGGGCCACGGGATGATGCATCCCCATGAATGCTTCCTGGTTTAGTAATAGTACTAATAGTGGGCAAGTTACCTCCAGATGACATAAATTGCGTTTTTAGTATTAAAAGACAGTCGACAACATTCTTCATAGATCCCTAAAGAAGGGAGAGGGAGGGAGGAAGAAGATCATAGAATAACATTAAAATTCTGCCAGGTTCATAGACAAGGAAGCAGTTAAGCAAAAGTAACAAATGGGCAGAGCAATATCCAGAATATACACATAAAGCAGTGCAGATAAATATCTGCATAGCATCAATGCAAGCTTCAATTATCAGGTCAAACATATTCATTAACACTTTCAATTAAATTGATTAATGACTTCAGAATCTAATATTTACATATGGCTAAGCAATCAAATCTGGGTATTCCTAGCTCATTTAAATATTGATTATACGAAAAGTTCATTGGTAGAGTGGGTACCTTTTCTAGGTCTGATACCTCAAATCTGGGTATTCCTAGCTCATCCATAGCTGTCAGAAACCTTTTAACATTTTCTGATCGCAACACTGAAAAATTTTCAGGATAACCTTCCTAGAGAAAAAAAATGCACATTAATCCAAAAAATAAACAATCATTAAGCTCATACTAAGATTTTATTAAAAGAATCTAAAATAAATAAATGAGAATAACTTTTTGAACAACCTGTTTTAGAGAACCAGGTCTAAGCCTGTCTAAGATTTTGCACATAACAGTGCCATCAATCAGGCTAGCTCTCAACTCTTCATGTGAAGCTTTTGTTGGCAAACTTAGATTGGGAAGAATACTGTTTAACCACTCCACCAACTGTGCCCGTTGCTTAGCTGCAGACGAGAAAAAAAAACAAACAGCAAACCACTTAGTTAAACAAATAAAAAGAAGTGCAAAAAACCAAAGACATCAAATATCAGCTTCCTTTACATTCAGTCTCATAGTTATTGTTTGCCATTGGTTCAAAAACATGGACATGCAGTTATGTTAGAGCTGTCAAGTCCTCCACAGTATTTTGCATGGTGATCCAGCATTCAGCTTCCGATCAGATGCTAAAAGAAGGTCCTTGGGAGCTTAATTGTGAACTTTTGATTCCTCATTTGCATTTTTTGTAAAGTAGTCTGAAAAACAATTAACTCCAAGCAATGAGCATGTTTTATATTAGAAAAACAAGACAGAATCTAACTCAGTATTCTTGGAGAAAGAGAGAGGGTAGAGAAACCTAGTAATTACTACTTAGAATCATATAGAATTATGCAAATTAACCAAAATGATACCATTGATAAGTAAGTGATATCTTGAGCCAGTAACCGATCTTAACATTTGATTTTGAGGGGGCCAAGTAATATTATTTTTTATAAGACTATTTTATTATACTTATTAATATCAATATATATATATATATATATACACACACACACACACATATAACATGTATTAATAAAAAATGAGTATATAAAATTATAAAAGAAAATTATTATTATGACAAATGTTTAAAAATAACATAATTTTTGAATTAGTAGTTGAATTACCAATTACACAATTTTTAAATGAAATATGAAATTTTTCTTTATTTTTTTGATATTTTAAATCTGAAATAAAAAAGCAAACCAATCAATATTTTTTATTGGCATGAATCTATGGAATGATCGTTAAAAAATTATACATACAAGAAAATAAATATCTTTTAAAAATGAAGAAAATTTTGAGATTGAAAATCAATGGTGTTTTTCGAACTTTTTAAAGTGGTTCTAATATGATTTTGATGTTGAAAAATATTGCAAGAGAATAGAAGATCAAGATCTAGAGTTATTAAAAGTGAAATATGATAAGGAAAAGAAAATTTGTAGTTAGCTAAAAAAAGGAAAAAAAAAAATCAATTATGTGCTTGGAGAAAAACACATTTAATGCTTGGTTGGAGACTTAATATCGTTGAAAAAGCTAGAAAGCTAAAATCACATGATTGTGATTTAAAATATATTACAAAACTCTTGCTTTTAAAGATTTTTGAATAATAATTAGTGGATACAATAAAAAGATAAATAGTAATGTGATTTTAACCCCTTTAAATTGTAATGCACAAAATTAAATTATGAAAACCATAAAAAAAAATTATTAATATTTTTAGTTTGAGGGAACCAATTTAAACTTATTTAACCAAATATACATACATATCAAAGGATTTCCAAATTTTGGGGGCCAAGGCCCCCTCAAGCATACATCTTGGTCTACCATTGTCTTGAGCAAACAATGATGTAGCTGCGTGGTAAACTATGTTGCTTTATTGGAACATTGAGAGGCCTTTGTTATATTTGTGATCAGGTTGACCTTGCATAGGCATAATAAAAAACCTATCAAGGAGGGGATAACAAACAGGGCAGCATGTGCTCTGATACTATGTAAAATTTTTAGAATGGGCATCCAACCTAAAACCAATTGACAATAGTTGGAGAGGCCCTTGTTATAATTATTTCCCAAGTTGTCCTCAATTTAACAGACGTGGGATTTACTTTATCTCCCCTTCAATAACAAGAATGGTGCATAATGCTTGACTAAACTAATCTACATAAACCAGACTTTCTGGAGACTAAAGTAAAATTTGGAAAGAGAAGGTATGCCTTAACCACCATAACAATAAAATTTGGAAACTATTCAGGATAGATTTTGCAAAGCAACTTATGAAGGCAGTTCCAAAACTAACCAACTTATGTAGGGATAAACAATGACTCAATCATAACTGAAATCGCTGCAACTTTGCACTGAAGTCTACAGAAGAACTCTTTTACAAGGTTTTCAAGTTTCCCCTGTCAAACTTTGGTCTTGGTCCTAATAGTTCAGAAACGAAACACTAAAGCTACCAGTAAGAAACTACCTTAAGGTGTAAATGCTGATGACTGCTACCCAGATTTTAAGTTCTGGTGCAACATACAGTTCCAGGTTCATGGAATAGTACAAAAATATCAAAAGAATTTTAGAAGAAACCAGAAAAAAAATGATAGACTAGCTCACACTAATCCAATGACAAATTTATAAACATGAAAACTTTTTTTTCATAAGCATAAGAATTTCTCTCATTGTTTTGCTTGTTTTCTAATACAAAGGCATTATTTCTAGTTCTAACTTTGCAAAGTATCACCTCTTATTTTGTCTTGCAGTTACATAATCAGTTGTGCAAAAGCTACCAAGTCAGCCTTGTGAAACTTCCAGAAAACATGTACAATAAAAAAACAGAAGATGTTCCACATTCTTCCTGACCCGACACATATTCAGAAATGCCAAATACACTATAATTAAAAAAAGAAGGCTACATCGCAATTTTGAAACAATAAAAGTTCTTTACATTAATATATGTGGACTTAGCTGAGTGTGATTCTCTTTCCAGAGGGGGGTTGTAGGGTGGTTGTCACCCATTTCAACTTCCTCAACCCTTTAACTGTGCAATTTAACAATGTTCTTTTGGACCTTTCAGCTATAATCTTAATTCAGCTCCATAAACCATAAATGATGTTTCCGCAGGACAGCCTTGTTGAAAAGTTCGACCGCTAAACCACCCTAATGAAACAATCAACGTGTCCGCAACCACCAAGGTAAACAAAACATAATGTCAAGCTTTTCTATCTTTCTAGTCCTAGGTGGCTTTTTTGAAAATTTCATGTTTACTTTGGGTTGTACTCTTGCATTTCTTCTGTGAAATTACTTGCATAAGAATTTTATATGGAAAAAAAAAAAAAAAAAAAAAAACCTGGGTGATGCCTCCCTAACTATGCAAGGAGCAATCAAACTAAAGTCAGATAGAAGATCAAAATTTGCTGGAAGAGATGCTCTATTGATATTTAATCTCAATAATACTAGCAATTGTGGATATTGCCATACATATTTGTTTCTCCTATCTTTTATATCAGAGTTGTGCATTACTTCTTCAATCAACCTTCTTGTCCTTCTCATTTCTCTACTTTCCTCAAACATCAATAACATGATTCATTTCGAGGTATATACATTTTTTCCATACAGCAATCAACATATGCACACAGGCAAACAAACATGCATAACTAGTTAATTTGCTGACAATGATAACCAACATACTTCAAATGCATTATGCAGTTGAAGACAAATTTGTGATCTTCTAATGAAACTGCAAATTAAATCACAACGTACCAAATTCTAAGGACCAAACAACTCCATTAAACTTTTACACCCTTAACAGATTAGCCTTAGAAAAACAAATTGCAGCTATTGTATGAAATGCGTTAGTAAGACTGAAATACAAAGGACACAAAAGCTAACAATTTCATAAAATATAGCTGCCATTGGTAACTTGCAACCTTCCTAAAAACTGGGTATATCTTGCAATCACAAAATAAGAAAGAAAATATGGAAAAAAAAAGAAGAAACAATACCCATTACGGAACTCAGCTTAAATATCATAAAAACAGTGAATGAAAGTCAAGATTTTCAATTTACAAACAAAAGAAAAAAAGTGATAAAATCGGATTGACTTTATCAATGTCCACATGCTACAATGCTATACACAAAGCTAAACATCATACCATCTACAGACAAAGACTTTGATCATCATCAACATTGTTAAAATACAAAAATAACATTAATAATGCCAAAAATAACAATAAACAAACAGCAAATTCACAGTGAAAACAAAAATGAAAAAAACACAATGAATATGAAAATTAGGTGATTGGAAACATTACCAGATAATTTTCCAGACGTGACAAAACCAAAGTCCAAACCTTAGAAGAGAGAGAATGAGATAGAAGGAATGTAAAGCTATGCACGTTGATCAAAGGTTCAAGCACAGGATATGTCATTAAAATTATTTTTTATTAATTTTTAAATTATTTGAAATAATGAGGAATTTGATACATTTTTTATTGTTTGGTATTCGGTGTACCATTGGCATTCTAAGGGACAGAAGATTAGTGGGAGAAAGGAAGCGGCAAAGTAGGAAACTACTCTCTTTTCGTTTCAACTCTTCTTCCGTTGGGTCTTTGCCACTTGTCCAGGATCCGACATTGATGCTCCACCTTTTGTGCTTTTTAATTCGGATGGTTACTAAAACAGGGAAGTTGATCTCCCCTTTCATGGCCATAAACTAAGAACATCTACGTTCCCTTAACAAATTGTTACTCTCTTTAAAATTAAAATTTCGACTTTCTAGTTTACTGTATTTGATGATAAAATGCTAAATTTTTAATTTTAAATGATAAAATTTTAAAATTTTACCACATTAAATATCAAAAATAAAAGTTTTAAGTTTAAATATTGTTTATATCGAATTTCGACCTCGGACTATTTTTAAAAAAGTAAAAAGAAAAAGTTAGAAGCAAACTCTAGGGTGCAGGTAAAAAAGATTTAGATAAAAAAAGAAACAAGGAGAGAAAGGAAATAGAATGAATTTGCTTTAATGTACCTAAATATTTCCATTTAGTGGTAAAATATGAGAGACCATTAGAAGATAATAAAAATAATATCGAGTTAATATAGTATTGAACATGTTATATTGATTTGATATTTTAGATTGATATAATTGATAAAAATATTTTTGATTGTGTTAAAAGCAAAAAAAAAAAAATAATAATTATATCTTTTTAATCATCGAATATCAAAATAAAAATTGATAATAAAGATAAATTTTGTCAACATTAAAGTTTATTTTCATATTTAGATTTTGTTAAGTTTTATTATTTTTTAATACAAATGATAATTTTTGTAGTTGTATTTAAAATAAAGAAATTGAAATATTTTATAATAAAATAATAAAATTTTTCAATTGTTATTTCATCTAAAAATAAAAATTAAAATACATTAATAAAATTATTTTACCACAATTTGAAAAATAAATAAAATAAATTAATAAAAATCCAAATAACAATGAGGAGAAGCTATTGTCCACTTGTTTATAAAGGGCTTTTATATCCAAATAAATTTTTATCTTTTAATTTTTATCTAAATAAGCAAATTAAGGGCTAACGAAATTTAATATTTCCTTTTAGTAATATTTAGGATGAAAATAAAATATTTAATTTGTACCATTTCATTTTCAAGCCTTAATTAATTAAAATGGGGTAAATATAAAAATAGTATTTTAGGTATACATTTTTTGTCAATTTAATATTTTAAAAAATAAAATTGTTATATTGATATTTGAACTTTTATTTCGTTATCACATTCATACCTTGAATTAGCATCGTTAATCAATTTTATTAACATTACATAAATATCAAATAAGATACCAATACATGTAAAAAAAATCTAATCAATGTTACATTATCAATGTCATATCATTATTAAAAGAAAATTTAAAAAAATCTAAAAATTAAAAATTTTTTACAAATTCTAAAAATTTTTAAAAAAATAAAATTTTTTCTAAAATTAAAAAAATTCTAAAATATTTTAAATTTTTGAAAAAAATTAAGAAAATTTAAAAAATTTTGAAAAATTATAAAAAATTTACAAAATATCCAAAAAATTTCCAAAAATTCAAAACAAATGAAGATTTTAATAAAAAAAATCTTAAAATTAAAAAAAAATTCACAAAAGCTTAAAAATAGTTAAAATAAAAAATCTAAAATTTTTAAAAAGTATACAAAATTTTCAAATAAAAATTAAAAAAAATTTGAAAATTTTTCATATGTTTTGAATCATACAATTTTAATTTTTATACTTTTTTCATTTTTTTAAAATTTTTTTTTAATTTTTAAGAAAATTTTAAATCTTTGAATTTTTTTATTTTTCAGAATATTTTAAGTTTAAGATAGTTTTAGATATTTGAAAAGTTTTTAATTTTTCAAAAAATTTTAAAAATTTTAGATATTCTAATTTTTAAGTTTTTGTGATTTTTTTAAATTTTATGAAAATTTATTTTTAGTAAAATTTTTATTTTTTGGAAATTTTATTGAATTATTTGAAATTTTTAATTTTTTATAAATTTTCACAAATTTTATAATTTTAAAAATGTATCTTATTTTTCTTTTTTTTTTTTATAAATTTTTAAAATTTTTGGAAATCATTTTTCTTTAATTTTCAAAAAATTTTAGAATTTTTTTGAATAGTTTTGAATTTTTAGAATTTTTTTGAAAATTTTAAAATTTTTTATAATTTTGGAAAAACTTTTAGAATTTTTTTAAAAAATTTTACAATTTTTTTTTCATTTTTTTCAAATTTTAATTTTTTTTTCAAATTTTAAAACTTTTTGGAATTTTTGAAAAGATTTTAAATTTTTAAAAAATTTTCAGAATTATTTTGAATTTTTGTAAATTATTAAAATTTTTGAGAATTTTTTTGAGTATTTTAAATATTTAAAAAATTATCTTTTTATATTGTGTTAATAACGTGGCGTTAACTAAAAATTTTTAATAAATATTAATATGTTATTGATATTTATATCTAGTTAATAAAATTGAATAATACCATCAATTTCAATACAAATATAATAACAAAATAAAAATTTAGGTATTAATATGATAATTTTATTTTTTAAAATATTAAATTAATAAAAAATGTATAGTTGAGAGGTAATTTTTATATTTAACGCGATCAAAATCAACTGCTTTCGTCAAAAAAAAAAATCGAAACCGCCGAAAAACTGCATCGTAAGTCCAGAAGCCGAAAATACGTTAAAGCCGAAGCACAAAAACTCAAATCCAAAATAGCCAAAAAAAAAAAAACCACAGCACAAAGAAGAGCAAGTGCAAATCAGCAGTGTGAAAGAGAGATGGGTAGGAAGAATGGAGTGCCAGAGTTCGACGAAACGGCACCGGATAGCTTCGATCCGGCTAATCCTTACAAGGATCCGGTGGCGATGTTAGAAATGAGGGAGCATATAGTTCGAGAGAAATGGATTGACATAGAGAAGGCGAAGATCCTCCGAGACAAGTTGAGGTGGTGTTATCGCATTGAAGGAGTCAACCATCTCCAGAGGTGCCGCCACCTCGTTCGCCAGTACCTCGACGCTACCCGTGGCATTGGTTGGGGCAAGGATGGGCGCCACCCCTCCCTACACGGTCCAAATCTTTTTTTTCTTTAATATATATAAAAATTTTTATTTTATTTATTTTAAGCTCTATTGGTCGCTTTAATTGTTGTTCGTTTACTAATTTCGTTTAGTTTTTAGCAATTTTTGGAAAGCGAAAAGCAAAGCAAATAGTAAAAGTAACGAAAACATTGAGTGTTAAACAGTTATTTATTTGCGGAATGTCAATACTCAATATCGGTTTTGGGGGGAGGAATGGCTGAAATGTATTAATTTTTTGTTGATGATTTTGGATTTTAGGTCCAAAGGTTGAGGAGGTTGAGTCAGAATGAGTGGCTGCATATGGTTATGAGAGGTAATCTATGGCCTTAATTCGTTCTTTATACTATCTAGTGACTAATCCATTTTACAATTATTGGTTTCATGGAATTATATCTTGCTTTGTTGTTGTCCTTCATGGAACTGTTTGGTTGAATTTTAGAATTATAAAAAAATGTGCAAAACAATTAACTGAATTGGGCGACCATAATTATACCTATGATATAAAATTATGGAAAGTTTGTGGAGGTCAATTTGGTGGACAAACATATGAGATTATAAAGCAGAAATGGGTTGGGTTAAGAATTGTTTAAGCTTGTTGGGTGGCAAAACTCTTTGGAAATTGCAGAAATTTAGCAGTCTGCATGTTTCTTAGTTATGTTTGTGAGAGTTGGGAGCAGTAGTATGTTCTTGGATCTACACTTAGAAGGATAGAACTGCAACTGGCTTATTCAGAAAAGCTACATAATTTGTAGATTTATTAACAAGTTCTATGTTACTTGGATTCGGGGATGAGTGTCGGATTATGTGTCTGACCAGACTACATTCATTTTTTTTTCTAAGCTTTTCCATATATTTGGAGGGTCAGACCTCTATACCCATTTTTGTCAAATATGTGTCGGACATGGGTATTTCAAGGAAAATGAAGAGTCAGAGCAACATAGGACAAGTTTGCTATTGTAATATGCCTATTAAGCATGATTCTTTCAAAGAGATGAAGGGGGCTATTTAACTTGAGGCTACTACAGCAATAGAGCTGTTCACTAGCATAAACATAACATCTGAGTTTTATTTAATTATTTTTCGGGTAGGTGGGGTAGGGGTTAAGGATTCCTGCAATGATCTTATGTAGTCTGTTGGATGCCAAGTGTTATAATGAGTTGATAGTCTCTGTGAAATATGTTTGACTTGGAGCTAATGTGTCTATAGTTTCGCAGCCTAAGAGCTCCTTTTATGTCAATGAAAGGAGAAATACTCGACAATTATCCTTCATAATTTGGTTGTATGTGTTCCTAAATTCTGTGAAACTTTGCTTTTAGATTTATTTTGCTTTACTTTTGAGTGCCTGCTTTTGGACAATTTCTAAGCCCCAAGAATGATTAAGTAAGATCATTATGAAACATAAACTAAAGGACTAAGAAGGGAAAACAGAAAAAAAATCCTATCTTTCATGTGTTGCTGAACGTACAGTTTCATCTCCTTTGGACATTTTAAAATTTGATGCATCTACATATATCTTGCACTTCCAGTCTCATGCTACTTGATAGAGGCTTGAGGATTATCACCAACATTCACAGTGGTTTATAGAGTCTATTCTATTCTAAGTGGGAAGCACCTGGTTCTGTATTTATCTGTTATTCCAGTTTCATTTTAAATAATCGCTTTAAATATATTCTTCAAAATCATCTTCATATGATACATAAGATACCTATGTTACAAAAGAAATTAACTTAAGATACCTAAGCTGTTGAGTAGTGCCAAAAGGCTTTTTTTCCCTTTCTTATTGTTATACCTAACATGTTGGGTGTTCTTTATAGCTTAAACTTTTTTATAGCTTTTGCTAGTCCATTTGTTTTTTACTTTTACTACTTGCTTTTTGTCATTTATTAGGCTCCATTTGGTTGACACTTTCGTTATTTGCTTTTTGTTTCGAGAAGATAAAAAAGCAAAAAACATGTTTGGATACTTAAGCAAATCTAAAATTTGAATGATTATACACAAATATGTAATCCTTTTAGATGAAAAAATCGTGATTCCACTTCCATATAGACTAATCATGGTGTAACTGGTGTTACATTTCAATTATTTGTCCATTTTAAATCAATTATAATATCGCTATTTATGCCTTTTGCTTTTGTGCTTTATAGCAATTTTTCAAAAAGCAAAATGTAACTAGCAAAAGTATCAACCAACTAGAGCCTTATTTATTGTTTCCTCAAAAGTTGCTATAAAATAAATATATATATATATATATATATATCAAAAAGCAAAATTAAAATTGATTCAAGATTAGCAAAAAGATAAGATGTAAAATTTTTTCAAACATAATCGTTTTTATATCATGTATTTTGTTATATTTGAAAAATATAAGTTTTAATTTTTCAAATTATTTTTTGCTTTTGTATCCAAACGCTTTTTGCATTTTGATTTTGGAAGCAAAAAACAAGTAGGAAAAAAAAAAAAAAACCAAAGCAGAGCATGAGATTTTCTTGTGAACTTTAGTTTTGGGTAAAGTAATAAGCAAATAGTACTCTCTTTATGTTATTTTGGCCCTTTTTATCCTTGATAATGCTTTTTGATGTACAGTTTGAACTCCTTTTTATCCTTGATAACACTCATTAATTTATGGTAACAGTTAAATAAAACCATTCTTAAGGAGCATACTTGGTAGGGATATCTGATTGATGTAACAATATCTGTTGTTCCCTTTCATCCTTTTTTCAAATTTGTGGAGATTTTTTTATTGGGGTTGTGATTTATTTTCCCCATCCTTTTGGTTAATGGAGAACTAGAATGTTTGAATGCTATTCAATTACTCCCCTAAATGATCATTTTCTGGTTGTAGACAAATTTGCTCATTTTAAAAGTTATTAGTGCTTCCAATTTGAATGTGAGAATTTTTTTTAAGCAGAAATCTTGTAGAGAAATAGACCGTTTTAGCCTGTGTAGGCCTGCCGGTGCAGTTAAGTAATGCATTCAAAGATATTGTGATAGCTTTTCAATTAAGATACTGATGACAAGGTTTATTCTGAATAGAAATCATTCTTGATTTCTTAAGTAGTTTACCATACCATCAATTGATTGCATTCGGAGGACAATGTTGATTTGCTGTATACTTTGAAAGCGTGGTTGAGTGATATTCTTTGTGAGTGAGAATATGCAAAATTTTTTATGCATGGGGGTCACTGCTAGACCATCACAGTTATCATGATGTTATGTCTAAACCAATCCATTTGCTTCATGGGTTTTTTTTTTTTCCTTTTTAAAAAGCAAATGTTGTTGACACCTTGCAGTTTTATAAAGTGATAAAACAATGATGGGTTGGGATATCTTAAGTATTTATGGTAAGGAGGTTTATATCAGTAGGTTTATGATAAGAGTTAATATGAACGTTCTGCTTGAATATGATGCCTACGATGTGACATGAAAATTAAGCAAATGAAAGCAAGTAATAAATAAATAAAACAAAGAACTGTATTTCATTTTTAGCTTTATGTGGTGGTGGTATCATTACATTTTTGGTATCTTTCGTATCATCATGAATGAGACTCTCTCTCTCTCTCTCTCTCTCTCTCTCTCTCTCTCTTTTACTTTTCTGAATATATCATGGCCTGTTCAGCCTTCTTTATCTATTTTATGTGGCCTGGCCATTTAGTTGTGTGCATCTGATTTTAAGGCTGTCTTTACAATTATTCCATCAATTTCTATGCATGTGAATATGACTTTTTTCTGTATCTTGCTCGGTACAAGGTGTGAATTTCACCTTGCAAGAATGGAATTAATATTATGCTTCGATATTGCAGGTGACTGAATTTGGCCAGTAAAGGAATGCATGAAGTGATGGATTTGAATAACTGCTCGCTTACATATTATTCTTGTTTGTGTTGCAAGACTCTCAAAACAGACGGGACAGGATCTATTTTTCATTTGATTATTTTCCATTATGTTAATCCTCTTTTTGTCAGCATCCAAAATCTTGCTACTACTTGAGCGAGATTATCCGTAACAGTAAATCAGATAACGGAATAAGTTTCTTGTCATTTCCTGCTTGAAATGAATTACGATGTTGATAAGGGATTTGTAGTTTTCATACCCAATTTGATTGCTGATGTGATGGAGTTCAAAAAACAATACATCTTCTGCTATTTTGAGTTTTGGATGGTGACTATTAGATTCTCAACTATTGTATCCAACTCCGAAATCAGACCAGATCAGATGCAGCTTTAATTCTCGCCAGTTAATGGCTTTTAATCTTAGATGCTCTTTCTTTGTTCATTTTACTTTGTCGTAGTTTAACCATCTTTCTGCATGCCATGAAAGCACCTGGACTGAGGGCGGATTTGTTTTTAAATCATAACGACTGAAACATGATTTAGGAGGATTGTCCAACGCTTGGTTTTGGCAGTTCCACAGCATCCCTTTTTTCAAGTTTGGGCCTTGCCTGCCATTTGAAACCCGATCTTTGTTTTTTTTTTTTTTTACCTCATCCGCACTCGCAAATGCTTACAAGGACAATGAAATGAAGGTAACAGTGTTTAAACTATCGTTTGTTTTTTTTTATTTTGACAAAACCGGAGTTTTCAAAGAATAAGGGTATGATAACAACAACAGAGACTAATGTTCATAAACGCTACCAAAGTAAATCTGTGCTGTACACATCTGCTTATTCCTACATGATTATGCACAATTATACAGTTAGGGTCATCAGCATCAGCAAGTTTTAGCCAGTGCTGGTTGATAGAGTCAGATACTCTTACAAGTTACAACAAAAGATGATGGGAAAGAGTGGGGACTTCTCAACTCTTGAGGCCTTTTCTGGGATGTCAAGGCATTCCTCTCAGTCAAGTGTACTGCTCTTAGCTGCAACCTGTCAACCTGCCAACCTGCCAACCTCTCAAGTGTGTACTGCAGGTGAAGTAGCTGGATGAAAACCTGAAAACAGTTGACAGTTACAAGTTAAGCAAGTATGAAGAAAAAAGGCAGATGAGTTCGAAGACAAAATCAAAACAAGAGTTTTGAGAAAATTGGTGAGCATGTGATGCGATGAAACCAGGAGCTCCCTTCAGTCCAATGGGTGGGCAAAGTATGTGGAAGGAGTTGCAGCTCCCACACCATGCATCGGGCTGAACTTAACATTCATAATCTACTGAATTTTGCGAAATCTTGGAGCCAAATAAATGTTAAGCATAACCGAATGCATGAGATGGCAGCTCTATCCGCTTCTCCGCCCCCTGTATTGGACCGAAAGGAGCTCCTCAGCCCCTACATATAATTAACAAGTGTCTCTTCTTTCTCCTAAACTCTCGAGGAAGAAGGAAAGAGATGGGATGGGGCACGATGCTGTAATGGCACGGTCCTTCCCTCCTTGTTGCTTCCTTAAATACAAACTCCCCACCCACAAAAAGGGTTTTTGTTTGATAACAACTCAGGAGCCCTTGAGTCTTGTCAGAGAACATGGCTTTAGGGGAATCTTCTCATTTTCTTTCCGGTTAATCATGCGGCTTCAAGAGCTTTTGACCTTTTGTCCTCATTCAACTTTTTATCTCAATTCAAAAATCTTCAAATTTCAATCTTTGTTACATCATGTAATCATTTTTAAAAATAATATTTAATAAATTGGGATTCAAATCTCGTAATTCTTTTTTTCTTTTCAAACTACAGCGACCTATGTAAAATAAAAATAAAAATAAAAAACTTCAAATCTTAAGAATAAATATTGATATTAACCCTTGAAAATTGAAACTTTAGTGAATTCAGAGGAAGCTAATTGTCACACGCAAAAAGATTTGAAAATATTGCTCCCATTATTGAGGGAAACATCCCATATGAAAATTAATATATTTATATATTATTAAGAAGTCTTGATCATGGACTGGTTCCATGGTAACAATAACAATTTTATTATAAGAACAATGTGAATCACAGCTCAACAAGGAAATACTTGAAAGCTGTGTTTGCATTGCCATAATTTCCAGGCTATATTTTGACAATGTCCAACAAAAAAGTTACACTGCAATTCCCTCTCAATCTGTCATTATAATAATTAAATCCTTCTTAAAAAACTGAAAAGCTATACATCATTCTGGTGCACGTCTTTATTTTCAGTTGTGTTCATGGTTTATATGATTGATGTTTTATTTGAATTTGATTCTTCTCCTTTCTTTTAAATAGGAAATGGTCAACAATTATTACAAAAAATGCCGTCAATCTGTCAATCATAATCTAAAAGAAAGGGTAACCAAAAAATGAGCCTGTTCCAGATGAAGACATCATGTTAATGATGCTCAACTTTACTTAAAAAACCTTCTTCCACCCACCGGCTTGCCACTGATTAACGTATCTATTTCGTATCGATGATTAATAAAGTCATTTTGGTCCGAATTGAATTGAATTAATATTAAATTAATGAATAATTATAATAATATTAAATTGTAAATTGAATAATATGATTTAGATTAAATGTAACTCTTAATGTTAATTATGTGTTTAGATTTATAATAGGATGAGTCAAAGTAAGTTATTAAAGAGATGTTTTTACACTCATCCTCACCGTATATAATATATTAAGTTTTAAAACTTAAATTTGAAAGAATAGAGAGTAATTCTCTCTTTTTCCTTTCCTTTCGGACCAAAACATAATACAAACTTGAGCTCTTGCTAATATTCAAATCATCTTTTGTTTCGGTTTAATATCGTGTTGTGACTTGATAAGCTACTGATTAAATCTAACATTTACTACTACTATACTGTTTTATTTTTTAACCGAGAATTATACATCCTGTTATTGACACTAAAATATTGGTTTGCAAAACGATAGCATGTAGCCAATGTTGTTGTTTGAGGATCATGAAATCTTTGAAGAGATTTAGCCGTACCATATTATTCTCATTAGATTCACAGTTGCCACACTGGAAAACAAAAGATTTATCAGCCTTTTTTTCCTGCTTTTCATGCAACAAGACAACCGAGACAGTTAAAAGCTAGCCAGCCTAAAAGGCTTTACTGGATACACCGCTGCCAACCACACTGAGACCCCAGCGGTTTGATTGCCTCTCCAACATTGATTATGGGACGGTCAGGATCTTATTTGAGTTTTGACAAAGTAAAAAAACATAAACCTGGGGTTTATCTAAGAGAAAAAATAGTGTGGGAGACTTGAATTGTTTCCTATGTATGTTGGAGGAAATGAAAAGAAAGATGAGACATGACTTTGTTTTGAGTTACGAGGAGCCTTGGGAGGGCACAATTGTGATGGTTTTAGTATTTGTCCTGCTCCAAGCTGCTTGGATTCGGATTTTCTCTTCTTCTGAAAAGATGCATGCTCGTGATTTCATTTCACCCTCACCCGTCGCCTTTGCCCTTTGGGTATTTCATTGTCTTTTTCTTTCCTACCATTTTCGTTGATTATTAACTCAACAAATTTGATTTTTTTTATCTGGAAAGGTTATCGGAAGCAATGGATTCAAAAAGTTTTTAAAATGTAACAACGTTTTTTTTTTTTTTTTTAACTCATGTTCCTAACAGAATTGACAGAAAATAAATCAGCTTCACAAATAATTTAAGTTAAAATAAACAATTTACCTTTGAAAAGGAAAAATGAAATTCCAACATTTTGGATGCATGATTTACTAGCAAAGTTAAGAGGCAACATTATGCAGCTCAAATATTGCCCCTATGCTACCAGTACATAGGCCAGCGCTGAGAAAAAAATTTTAAAGAATAAAAAATCCATTTGAAATTGTAGAATTAGAGTTGATTGAGTAATTTTTTTTATTCGGTTCAATTTAGGTTTGAATATTTTATGTTTTAATTAGATTTGATTTGGTTTTAGGATTAGAATGAAAAAATTAAAAATATTCGAATATAATTATATATTTTTATTAATTTTTATATATTTTTAAATTTATGTAAAATAAAATAATCATTTTATATCTAATCTATTGATTTAAATATATTAAAAATTAAAATAATAAAAAAATTTTAAAAATTAAAAATTAAAATTCGATTAAAAAAATATCAAAATTTGGTTTAGATTATATCAATTTCAAAGAAATTAAGTTCGATTCAAATTCATATAAGTTCTTGAAAATTTATAATATTATACATTAATTGAAATAAACAAATTGAATTGTTATTACTCTTAACATGGGCTATCTATTGAGTTTTTTTTCAATGTTTTATGACTATTAAGGTAATTGAATAAGTTTTTAATGCAGGAATGTTTTTAATGAAAATATAGAAAAAATAACAACAATCATATAGTTTATTGATAAATATTAAACTTTTAATTTCAATGATCAATTATAAATAAAACATAAATGACAAATTATGCTAGAGATTCTTGCACTATATGAAAGTTTGGAATGCAGTCTTTCTATTGTAATTTATACAAATTTAATCCTTATACTTTTTCAATTTAATAATTTCAATTATTCCCTCTAATAGTATCAAATTTTCTTTCTTTAAAAATGCATACATGATCATTGACTTGCTAATATGACATTTTGATTGATTATTAAAGAAGCATTGATGATGTGGATTTATTGATATGTCATATGGCATTTCAATAAATCCACATCAGCATTTATCTAACAAATTTAATTTTTTTAAATATTAATTTAAAAATGTGATTGGTTGAAAATAAAAACAAAAAAGAAAAGAAAAATAATATTTTAGAAAAAAGAATCCCTACTACTACCGTAAATCCCTGATCTTCTTTGTCAACTTTTGGAACATTCATGGACATTGGATCAGGTTTCTTTCTGATCAACGTGAGAATCAACGGTATAAGACTTTTTGGGATGAATGCTAGGTTTGATACCAACGAACTCAACTGATTTGTGTGCATCAGGTTTCATAAACCATTTTTTTCCATTTTTTTCATCATTCTCATCAAACGCCTTTGGTTTACTTGAAGCATTAAATAGAAAAGATGGATAATCAACAGGTTGTGAATCTTGACCAAATAAATTTATGGAAAAAATAAACTTTTTCACATTTCCATGTCTCCTGTTCATGTCTCTTAGAGGAAATTTTCTTTAACTTTACATTTTTACATGCCAAGAACAACATCCTTAATTACAAATATTCAAAAATAAAAAACCAATCAATTGCTGTGATTTCTACATCACTTGGACATGCAGATGCATTCTTGG